CGGGTCCGTGTTAAGTCGACAACGAAGGGGTAAATGAAGACTGGCATAACAACCGCCTACTACCTACCATTATGCAAACAAATTATAATATTTAGTATAACAAAATAGCTACAATATAAAAGGCGTATGAAATTTGTGAGGCTTGATAGACCTATTAACTTTCTTCCATCTTCAAAAATCTCTTTCGATACTCTGCTTGCTTCAAGATCTTTTTCATGAAAGTGCTTACTGGCATGCAACCTTGAAATACTGGCCTCTACGTGATAAAGCCATGCTGCAGTTGTATTATAACTACAGCATGAATGGGTCGGCTCCATCGGAGTAGGACCACGCTCTCAAAGAATACCAGCATAAGGCTGATGTGGTGAATAATAAGGAACCAACCCTCATTGCTGGTAACGAGGCTTTCCATCTTAGTCTTCAGGGGTGACAATGCATCTGATTTTTGATACTTAGTCGAGGATAGATGTAGATGTCTATAGGGCATTCACTTACCATCAAATGGAGAGTGTGTTTGTTTTTTATCCTTACTTCTATTTAAAAAATACTCACTACACTGGGAAAGCGGGTTAGTGAATGTAGAACTGTTACCTTGCGTTGGTTTTTAGATGGACTTTATACCATCAGTCGGAGTCTCCTCCGCTAATAAGCAGAGTATATACCGCGTGCAAATGATGTTAATATTTGGATAAAAAGACACATTCTCCCACTCTCCGATTCTTCTTTATCGGTCCGTAAAAGTTCACTGCTCATTAAGGATCTCTTCCGTTGTAGGAAGATTCGCCATAAATTGACAGATTCCACTTGCGAGACGAATTGTCTATCGCAGTGCCAGACGTCTCGCACCATAAACAGGAAGCACTGCAATCCGTCGTTACTCGACAGTCTGGGTATTTTAAGTCTTACGTTTACGAGATGGTTATATTAACATCTATCGGAAGCTATAAGATTTTTCGGCATTTCCATAGCCGCTTTCAGTCATTTTAAATCATTTATGTCATTTAAATAAAATGAGTTGTATAGGATGGATTCTTTTCCGCCGCCACCACACTCGTGCGAATTAAATATAAACTAAAAACTAAATAATTACATTAGTTTTTGTTGTTCAAAAAAAAAAGAAGGAAAATATATTTGAAAATGGTCTCGGTGACAGTCCCCGTACAATCACCAATACAAATACCAATATAAAGCACACGTAACGTCGGGAATTAAAACAAGTAGAATTAATCGCGACATAATCCGTAAAAGTAGATTAATTCAATGAAAATATATTTATAAAAATATTTACGACTTATACGATAGACGATAAAAAGATGAACGACAACCGGCGGTTAAGAAAGATTCTCGAAAGGCAGCCTCGTCCCTACTGGTTACCAAAGTTTGGGGCGGCCCCCCTAGAAAAAATGACGACCTGGTAAGAGATGCAGGAAATCTATGGATGCAAGTAGCTCGGGACCATGCTCCATTGATTTGTGATGGACTGTAATAATTATGATGATGACTTAAAAAGATAAAGTATTACATTTCAACGAAGGTAGAGGTATTCTTCATTCGTAAATGACGAATTACAAATAGTTATTATTCATAAATAGTTGTTATCGTAAGATTAGGATCAGTTTGTCCGGATTTCTTTAAACTTCTTACTTACTAATTGTTTGCGTCGAATTTTTTTACCATTTTATTAAATCTAACAACAATAGCCAGTCAGTCGCGAAACTTCATGTAGATAAGTAGTCTGTTTACAGAGTAGGTTGAAATTAGAAAATATTGTGGTTACGATTTTTAGTTAGAACAGTCGTAAAAAGGCTTTAATTTATTATAGATTTCTTGACAAAATAGAGATTGGTTTTTGATCGTCAACTACAGGTAAGTTTAGCAACAAAATTGTTTTACAGTTACCAACAAAAACATGTTTAAAAAATGTGAATGTGAATGTCTTAGCCATAAAATTGACAAAAACGTTAAACTTTCAGGTAATTACAAAACATTGTTAACGATGAACTACTACTTGCTCGTTTTATAACTATAAAACTCTGATTAATTTTCTGAACAAATTAAAGTTTTGATGATAATATTGATTTAATTTTATTTGATGGGTTACTCATAATGCCTTTATTTCATGGTCATGCAACGGGATTGGAAAAAATAAAGTATTTTTGTTAATAAGCCTGAAACTATTAATTGCAATATTTTCACAAAAGTGAAAAAGTAGTCTGCAGAGCAATACCAATTGGCTCTTTTTCATTTAATTTATGAAATAAAATAATAACGTTTCATGCTATACTTTTTTAAAAATTAACTTAAACTTTCTTGACATCAGATTAAGAAATGCTGGTTATAAACGTTTTTATGTATAGTTTCTTGTTGTTTTTTAATTTTTCGGGGGAGTTAATTATGTCTCATATTTAAATTATAGTCACACTTCATGATATAACATTAAATCAAAGGTGCTTGTTAACGTATGTACTACTTCTTGCATTATATTACAACCTACCTAAATGTACATTACACATTTTTTCATGTAGCGATTATCTCCATGACTCTCTCTCTCTTTCTCTCTCTCTCTCTCTCTCTCTCTCTCGCTCTCTGTATCTCTCTCTCTACTGTAAAACAGTTTATGATACCAATGATGTAATATGTACTTACGTAGTACATAAGAACTCAATGTTTGATACGGTAGAACAGAATACCCTTGTTTTACACCAAGGGAAAAGCTTCACTATTATTATACGTCATAAAGTTGTTAATTTATATGAATTTGAATAATAATCTATTCACAATAATCGATTAATATTCCAATTTCTGTTAGATTGAAAATTAAATTATAATATATATAATGGTAATCATTTTTAGATTTATGTCGAACAAAAAGACAAACATAATCATAAGATTATCGTGATAATTATAAATCTTTCCAATAATATTGCAAAATTAAGATATAGCAAAAGGCATATTATATAAATTGGATAGAAGCCATTCAAAATTCAAATACGCATTCAAGGCAGTCGTGCGTATCAGCCTTGTTATTGCCCTTTTTTGCAATTTATAAATTAAACTATGGAACAAACGTTTTATTATAATTTATAATTTCATTAATTTTATTGATCACTAAGCAAAAGTAGTTTTTACTTTTAAAATTAATATTGTTGAAAGGCAATGTGTAATCAAGCGGTGGACTTTACTTTCCCGATGAAATTAAATGAAGTATATCGCAATTACATTTATTTTTACATAAAATATACATAATTCTATCTAAAAATAAATTTCCTATTTAATGGGCTATAAAAAACTAAGTGATTTAAATAGCGTGTTAATAAATTTCCTTCTTATGTAATTTTATGTCTTTGTGTTTATGCGTAAAGATTTCAGAGGTACGCAAAAAATTATCACATATTGACATCTTAATTATCTACTATCTAACTCACCGTCGCCATAGGCCTATTCAAGAATGGCACGCATAAGCAGAAATATTTATTGTTTGCTGGTGCTGCAAGCGGTTTGGTGATCGTAGAGCCGATACTACCGATCTCAACGTGAAATAGTAGCAAAAAAGACTGCTTTATTTCATAAGGTGATTGTCCAGAACCTGGGACACTTTTACGGGTAACAAGGCATTCCATCTTAGTCCTCAGAGGTAACTTCGAATCTGCATTTTGATTTTTAATCGAATCGAATATACATAATTATTTAGGTGACTAGAGGGCTTCAGCATCCACTTATCATCAGGTGGATTGTGCGCTCGTTTGCCACTCTTACTACTTTAAAATAAATAAAAATAAAACAGATAATGCTACTCCCCATTACCTACCCGTTTGTCAGGTTTAAATTCGGCATTCTCAATGAATTTACTTCTACTGATCGGTCGCCAGTACGTCATTCGTTTCTTATTAGGGTACCACGGGGAGTGGGTATTTGGAGAAGATGTTGTATCTCCAGTACACCCCTGATCGAATCTAAATAGTTAAATGTAATTTACATGCGTACTATTATTTTGGTTAGTGTAAAAGTTTAAGGCGAGAATAGTAAGTTAATTTGCATAAGTTTAAGATTACTTTCGTTCTGAAACCTAACGATAAAATTCGCGTTAGTATGATTTTAAATCTGCTACAAAAACAAATTTGAATGCATTTTCTTTGTTTGTACCATACGAAGGATGAAAGAAAGCGGACGTATGCGTATTGCAATTTAGATGAGGAAATGCGATACAACAGTTAATTGTGCTTGACGTTCGAGTGCGAGGCTCGGCGATAATTATATTAATATCGAAGACTGTATCAACAATGTGTAATTCTGTTGTAATAATGGACAAACCCATAATTTTATTTATGATGAATGTACATTTTAAATTTTAATTATTTGGTCAGTGTGTAAAAAAAATATTAGAAAAAATAATGGATAAGTACCCGAAGTATGATTCAAATGTAAGAGATAATAACAAAATGGAAAAAATATAACTGAGACCTTAAAAAAATAATTAAAAAATTTTTTAAAAAATGTTAATGCTATGATACAAAATGACGTGTCTTGCTATTTTGTTATTATGTAATTTTTTTTATGGCTGTTTAGGTCTTACACGCCTAGAAAAATAATTATGAATTAGAAATATATGTGTGCAAATAATAATAACTAAATTTTAATCAATTACAATTTATGGCATTCTATTTCCGTTAGCAGTGACCGTATAGGCTTATTTGCTTGTGAGTGAGTGCGTGTTCTTACAATACGGTCGAGTATGGTTTTGTTTTGATTTCAGCGTCACTTGAAATGTTTGCAGTGCTTATTCTGTTTCTTTGCTGTTCTGAGACTATAACCAAATTATTTAAAACATTGTATACAAGCTACACAATAAACCAAATAATAAATCATTACAGATTATTGTTTTTAATCTATTAAAGTTACTCGTACGTTTCTACTGTGTAATTTAACGTAATATTTTATGTTTGTTGCAGGTTTTCCACTTCATATAGTAAACCCGTAGCTGGTACTAACTAATAGACGAAATGGGTGTGTCTGAGGCAGGCTGTTCCAATACACCTGAACTTTCACTTATTGAGCCAGAACGTCCTGGATCTGGCAGCGGCGATGAGGAAGATATTCCGAGAAGGAAACAAAGGCGTTATAGAACTACTTTTACAAGTTATCAATTGGATGAGCTTGAGAAAGCGTTTGGTCGGACGCATTATCCTGATGTGTTTTCGAGGTGGGTTTCATACTGACTTTTCTCACTTTATAATATTATTTAGTCTTATAATATCTCGCATTCATTATGCTTATTTATTGTATCAAGGATTCAACTTTCAATTAATAATTATTATTGTATTAATAATAATTACCATTTTTTGCAAAAAAATGAATAGTTTAATTTTATACACCATATATGATAATATTTTATCGAGTCTAGTCTGATGGCTGTGACGTCACAAAATAATGATAGATTATAATTGTAGTCCCAGTGTTATTTTAATACACTGGGACTACAATTATAATCTGTACAACTGTACAGTACAACTGTAATGTACAACTGTAATGTACACGTTTTAAGTATTATTTATATTCATGTAATAATATTGTTGCAGGGAAGAGCTCGCCTTAAAAATTGGATTAACTGAAGCTAGAATTCAGGTAAGCTTTGATAATTTTACTTTATTTCGTTTAATTATGTATATAATTAAACATTTACGTTTATGAAATTTTTGGGGAAAGTATTAATTTATTTTAATATTATTAAAAATATGGCCTGTACGTAAACAAAGCTCCCGTCTCAACGAATCGATTATAGGTAACTGATTGTCAATCAGCATTTAGGGATTGGCGAAACAGGTCGAAACAAATCCATGAATATCGTCCGCGTCCGATTGAGATGAATAGCCGTGTCTTCAATTAAATATCTTATGAGATTTTTCAAAAAATAAGCCATAGTCGTAGTGCACAATTAGTTGTAATAAAATTATATGTATCTAATTCTTGTCCCTCTTGAGAACAGAACTAAAATAGCCGAAAAACAGAGTGAATAAAACTATTTTTTACGGATTTTATCGCGTTCAATTTACTATTTTTAATTCCCGACGTTTCGGGTGCTTTACAGCAACCCATGGACACGAGGGGGGGGGGGGGGGGGGAGTGGACTGAGATGTTTGACGTCAACATAGAATATGTGGTTGATGTAGTGTTTTAGCAGATTGATTTCCGCACACTGAAGTATGGTGAAAATTTCTGTCTGTATGATAGAGCTGAATCTACCCAAATTCATACTAAGTTTGAATTTGGGACCTTCCCCATAAATTCCAAAGCCTATGTCGATGCCCATTTTTGACCCATCGGTATACTGTACAAGGCTACCGACCTCACTAATGACCTGTCTATTCAGCCAGTCTTCTCTGGAGGGTAGTTCGCGCAGGATATCTGAGATCATGCATAAGACAAAGCAAGCTCAAACCGCCCTGAGCGTTAATCCTATACGCACTAGCCCTCAACTTCTTGTCTAAATAAAGATCAAATTGCGTTAGACCTAAAAGTGCATTAAGAGCCGCTCCAGTTGCCTTTAAGCAGGTGGTCCCTTGTAGACTATTTAGTCTGTCCACAGCATTCTTTTGGTTGGCCTTATTACACCAAATAGTGGAGGCGTAGGTAAGAATCGGCACCACTATGCTGCTGTACAGCCTTAGGATCATACTGGGACACAAGCCCCAGTTGTTCCCAACTATGCGACTGCACGTACCTAAAGCAATTTTAGCCTTATGACATTCGTTGCTAAGGTGAGAGTTCCACGTTAGTTTTTGGTCGATTGTTACGCTCAAGTACTTAACTTCAGTGGAGAATGGAACTTTTTTACCATTAAGTTTTGGTGTGACAATTTTTTCCAACCCTATCTTTAGATATCTTTGTTTATCGTTTTGAACTTGATTTACTATTCCACTTCGCGTGACTTTGCTTTTCATCATCATCATTATTACAGCTATTCACAAGTTCACTGCTGAATATAGGTCTCCCTCAAGGAATGCCACAAAGCACGGTCCTGAGCCACCTGCATCCATCGACTGGCTTTAAGTATTCTTTTATTATCATACTATCCCTGGCTACTTTGCTTTTACGCAGCCTTAACTAGATCTCCACTGGGCAGATCATCTAAATTAAGAAAATTATAATTGGCAGAATATATTTCTAAGTTTTTATCTATAAATTGTTCAATCTACCTACAAGTTGTGATTTAGTAACACGAAGAGACAATTATATCACAAATTAGCTTTGTAATATATGTTAGCAGAACGCTGAAACTCAGAATAATAAATACCGACGATCTGTAGCTTGTAGAAACTGACTAATAATGACAAAGAGATCGTTAAGAATTATGACTGTAGTGTCTGTAAAAACATGTAGAGTTTTTATTACATGAGATTAATATTTAGCTACTACCGCTGCTGTTTTCAACGGACTTCAAAAAAAGGACGATGTACTCAATTTGACTGTATTTATTTTATGTGCGTTACCTCGGAACTTTTTTCTAGGTGACCTGATTTTGATGATTTTTTTTTTATTTAAAAGCTGGTGCTTTTCACGTCGTTCCATATAAAAAAACCGGTATCAAAAATAGTAAAACTGTGTGTGCTGCTTTGTGTCATTTGACGAAAATTCGTCAATCTTATTCAAGCAAATTCAAGCTCGTCGTGATGCGTTACATTTTCATATTTTCGTTTTTGAAATCCTTATATGTAACCGAACATTGTAGAGTTCGATCACTGTCGTTACTCCTGAAATTGTTAATTTTAATTTTAAGTGTCGGTTTACTCAGGAACATCATGAGTGTTAACTCATTATATTTTTCTTCACAAGTTCGAAAGTTTTTTCAGTCTTAATTCCTTACCCCGAGGTCAACTTCAATTCTTGAAGATGGGATGAAGGCTGGGCGTGGGTCTGTTCTCAGAAATGAGATGAGTCCTATATTTGGGCGTATGGTGGACTGTTCCATTAATTAAAAAAATATTTTCGCAACATCTTTTGCAGATTCCTGAATGCATTACGATTACATACAGAATCTCGCTCATTTCGATTTAATACGCCAAGAGACACCAAGTATAAATAAGCGATAAAATTTTATAGCACAAAAAGCCAAACGACTTTTCAAATAACGATGCCAGACGTGAACTGCGTACGTGAACATACTCGCGCAGGTCTTGAAATGGCTTAATCAATGTACATAATTAAATTGTTAACAAGAAAAAATGGAAAAGTCATTTCGCATTTTACGCATTAATGCTTAGTTAATTACACAACTTAGAATATTTATTTTCCTTAACAAAACTCTTTCGTAATTATTGTACACTCATGGACAAATTTAGAGGAATGCAAAAAAAGGTTTCATTTTCCTGTTGTAATTATCGTGTGTACTGGCTACAAACATTAGTAAATGCTATTAAAAAAATATTTTGAATGTTTACTTTTTGAATTTCATTTGTTTTATGTATGTAATTATTGCAAAATATGGCGTTCTTTATTATGCGAAAATTTTTGCCAACATTATAAATTGAGTTTAAATAAAAATTTTGCCTTGAAGGTAGTCAATGTTCCAACATGTGGCCAAAACATTATGATAGTACACCGAGTTGTCAAGAGAACGTAAATAATGTGAAAATTTGGTACAAAAATGTTTCTTTCTTGTAAAATTTTTCTTTTTTCTTTTGAAATTTTAAATTAACGAATATTAAGCAAAATCCAAATTAAAAACGTAATTGTCACAGATAGTCATGATATTTTGTTTTAGTGTCTAACTTTTTTCCGTTCGCCTAAATTTGTTCATGAGTACGTAGGTATATAATTATATTAAACAAAACTTTTTTGGTTGAAAATTATACACAAAAAAGTCATATTTTATCTTCTACCACTTAAAATTTTCATGCAAAATGATTTTTTTTAGAATAGAATAGAATAATTTTTTTATTCAATATTGATTATTACATAATACTTATTGAAAGTCATTTTTTATTTACCACTGGTTCGGAAAATACCTCAGTCCCGGGAAGAACCAGCAAGAAACCCAGCGGGACTTTTTTTTTAAACATAATTTCACTTAACAATAATTTTGTTTATACAATTTTTAAATGATTTTTCATAGAACCAGCATGGTGGCGATCACCCTATTCCCAGGGGTTATTTTCATTTATGTATTCCTTGGTATTATAATAACCCTTTTTGTACAGTTTTTCTTTAATAAAACTTTTAAACTTGTTTATTGACAAACTTTGAATATGTTCTGGGATTTTGTTGTCAAATTGCCCCATAAATGAATTACTGATTCTGTGGAGTCTAGACTCCACAGAATCAGTAATTGACAATGAGTTACTAGTAACTCATTGTCAACTGGCATTACAAGCTTATGTTTGTTCCTAGTATTTAAAGTATGCACATCCTTATTCTTATTAAAGCTATTTATGTTTTTATGCACATACATTAAATTCTCATAAATATATTGCGATGCCAAAGTTAATATGTTTATTTCTTTAAATTTTTCTCTGAGGGACTCTTTACAATTTAGGTTATAAATCGCCCGTACGGCTCTCTTTTGCAAAACAAATATAGCTTCAATATCAGCCGCATTACTCCATAGCAAAATTCCATAAGACATTACGCTATGAAAGTAACTAAAATACACTAATCTAGCTGTCTCAACATCTGTGAGACTTCTAATCTTTCTTACAGCATATGCTGCAGAACTAAGTCTGCTTGCTAATTTAGATATATGGGGGCCCCACTGAAGTTTCACGTCAATAGTAATACCAAGAAAAACGGTGGTATCCACAAGAATCAACTCCTCCCCATTTAACAGCCAATTGGTATTCGAATGTTTTACATTAGGTATTGTAAATTTAATACACTTTGTCTTATTGCCGTTTAAGAGCATATTGTTGGCGTTAAACCAATGTCCCAATTTCGATAGAGCATTATTTACATCGTCATAATTAATTAACTGTCGTTTGAGTTTGAAAATTAAAGAGGTATCGTCAGCAAATAATACTATATCGTGTACTTCTGAACTATGTGATAATCCTTTTTTACGTAAAATTCTTATAGATCTTCAAGTTTTATTCAAAACCTTGTCATATATGCCACCTAGTTTTCAAAGTAATATTTAAAAAATGAGTTATAAGTGGTTTTTCGATAATTTAACTATTTGCCGATAGACCACTAATATAGATTTCGTTTCTCGTTTCTCTTCTTGGTCTCTTTTTTAATTAAGTTCTACGCGGACAAAGCCGCAGATAAAAGTTATTCTATTATAAAATTGTAGAGATTTTTATAGTAGGTATGTAGGTAGATAGGCCTGGTTAGTACTGTTCCTGTTACCATTTGCAAAAATTTTCACGGACATCTAATGATCATTTGCCATCAAATATTCACTCGTCACTTTTATAGTGGGAGGCTATTAAAGAGGCAGTTCCTGCTAAAAGAAATAACCAAACGGTTGTCTTTTTTACTTCAAAAGGAACTCATTAATTGTCTGTATATATAAAAATCAATTGCTGTCCGTTAGTCTCACTAAAACTGCTAAAACTAAAAAACAATAATAAAGATACATTTTTATGCACTTTGGGCCCCTAGATGGTTTAGATTTACATTTGGTGCACTGG